GGTTTGTTGATTTGTTTTCTAGTGATTTGGATTTGGAATCAAATTGACTCTCAATACAATTTCATTTACTTCACCAATGCGTTTTCATCTTTCATTTCTTTTTTATATTGATTCAAATATCTCTCTCCCTCTTTCTTTGTGTCTTAACCCCTCTTTTAACTTGTATAATGTGAATGATAAAATAACGTAAGAAGATTGGTTTATTTTGTGAAATGAAGAGTGATTTCAATTGAACCACCACTGGGTGATCCAGTGGTCAACTAGGACTCTTGGATCTATTACTTAAGAGCAAGGTTCTGAAAATCAGACTGGATCGTCCAGTCAGACCGGTTCGATCGGGAGCTGGTGGTATTTTCAGTCCGGTATCTCATACAAACCGCCATTTCCCGTTAAACCGAATTGAGCCGCGGTTGGACCGTCGGAATACTGCCGAGTCGCGGTCCAATCGTTGCTCAATCCCGTCGGATTCCGACATTGTTCAAAGCAGAAAACACCACCATTCGACGTGACGACATCTCCACGACAAAACCCAGCCATTTTCAGTCACCTTCGTCGCTCACCGTCCACCTAAAGTTCACACGACCGTCGGGCTTCTTTTGTTGATTCCGGCACCGATGGAACTCCTTAGCACCACCATCAGATTCGCCGGAACCTATACATCAAAAGCCTCATGATTCCAACTTCGATTGGTCGTCGATCGTCGCTGTCGCCACCACTCACAAGTTTCTTCGCGCGACAATGGTGTTTTAGACAGATTTCAAACCTTAAGGGAGTATTATAGGGGTGTTTTTGATTAATTTCAAACCTTTAGGGACTAAAATTTTTTTACAGAATACAGTCCAACCGACCGATCCAACCGGTCAAACCAAAAACCGGACCCTTGAATGGGTCATAGTCCGGTCCGATTTTCAGAACATTGCTCAAAAGGTCATGAGTTCGATCCACTTAAGTTGCTAATGGAGGTGACTATTGAGGAGATTTATCCAGCTACCAACTTCAAGACTCCAAAGGATTAGTTGAGAATTAAGATGCATGCAAGTTGGTCCGAACATCTTGAAAGGCAAAAGAAACATCTCTTCTTTCTTCAATAATTTCTAATATCTAGTACTTCTTTTAATAAGATTCGAACTCCAATGAAATTCTGATCATCTGATTCCTTGGTTTATTCCAAAAGCAATCTTATTCATCAATTTTTTACGTTCCGTAAATAGTTGTAACATTGAGGAATATCTAGAAAGGTATTTAGGAAATCGATCATGTATATTGAAATAGTAGAGTTGCCCTATAGAAAGAGAAGTTAAGAGTGTTTAGAATGGAGCATTGAGTTGCTGAATTTAAGATATAATGGAGGTTAATTTCAATTTTCAACCCCACGGGCACATAAAAGAGAGACTATTGTTTTGGGCTAGCTAGATGGTCCAAAAATCAGTAACCAAAAACAATATCCAAATTAATGGTCCGACCCATTTTATCATCTAGAGCAAGCCCACACTCCAATAAAATATATAGCTCTCTAACATTTTCATGTCATATGCAACTTTATATGGATATGGACCTTTGTATGATTAATTTGAATAAGAAAATAGCAAAATCCTTACTATATTTACATAATTTTAGCATTTAGTGATTATCTATGTAATGCAAAATTTGGAGTTTGAGAGAGTCTCTTTTAAGCTTTCATCTATCTACTTAATTGACTTTGTTGTGGCATACTCATCTTTAAATGGTTTATTAGGTGCTTAATGGAGATTAAATCATGTTCTAATTATGATTAAAGTTTCACTATACTTAGTCATATTGTATTCCTTGTCACTGTTTGTTGTTTCATTAATAAATAACGTATTTGCTTTTCATAAAAAAAGTTATTGGAACTGTCAGTTACCTCATTTATCTAAACACAGAGAGACTTTCTATAAAACAGTTTCATTTGTATTTTTTAATGTTAAAAACTATCTCTCCGACCCATGGTTTTCATCAATTGATAATAATCATTAATAAACGACGAAAATTACAATTATCTATAGTACGGTGGTTTTGATGAATTATAATAATATTTATAATAAAGATTAAAAAAAAAAAATTAGTAGATAGCATAATAGCCTACTGCCACGACCCCATTTAAATCGGTATGCTTAGATGAGAATCAAACCTGAAACCGTACGTTATCTATAATATCCCTAATTTGCCCTCCGCAAACTCTTACATACAAATTGACGTTGGAACAACTCTTTTTCACATCATTCATCTAGTTAATTACATTTATTGAATTAATTTTATATATAAATTTATCCATTCACTTTTTGACACATTATCTAATTATTTATTTTTAATTAATATAATTTTACACATCATTATTTACATCAGTTAGGATAGAAAGTTAAGATTTGATTTTTTTGGAAACAAAATTTTGAAAGTGAATAACATAGTATTACTGTTTGTCTCTTAATTCAATTCCTTCTTTTAAAAATAATAATTAATTTAACTATTTCACCTCAATAATTAATTTTTACACAGATCACTCACAATAAATATTTTTAATTAGTTTCTAAGTTTTCTTTCTCATAAAATCTATCAATTAAGTATGAAAACTTGAATTTCAATTAATTAAGAGTTAATTCCAATTAAAAAATTTCCCAAAAATGAATTTAAAACCATGCTATGAATCTCGGGCGCCCACAGTCCCATATATTTCTACACCCAGATTTTTATAAACTACTGCTGGTTTTTTAGTTTTAATTAATTAATTAATTTTTCCTTATTATTTTTCATAAATATTTTTATTACAATGTACGGACTCCTGAAAATCTGGAGTTATTACTGAGTTTCTAAAACTTCGAATATTTGTCGACTCTTTATTCGGTCTGAACTCGTCTTTGCACGTGCCTTTCACACTATTATATGAAATCAATTATATATTTTCCTAAACTAATTTAATTAAGCATATGAAAGTTCAACCAGGAAATTGGAATCTGATATTTCATTGTGCTGATATTAATTCATGTATATTGACATAGACTTTTTTTTTTTTTGTTAAGTAATTTATATATGACTTATAAAATAGTTTAATGTGTGAAAAATATCAATAAAATCATAAATTCTGTCAATAACGTGTTCAATATATTACGAAATGATGTCAATATGATGATACAATATTATACGAGTAAGTTAATGCGTTTTCTATATCAAACATATTAAAGTACACGTTTTTCACGTTAAACATAATGAACGATGTATTATACCATGTCAATTGTAGTAAAAAACTTTTACCTTATTGTAAATTTTCCTTATATAATTATAAAAGATTAGAACACATGTTAATCATTGTCAAATTTATTAGCTGGCCCAAATGAATGAATAATATAATCTCATTAACCCCGCAAATTTTATGTGATTAGTATCAAAATATATGTATCAAGCCCTAATCTTCTTATAACATCACTTGATGAAGGCAGTAAGAACATAATTCAACTAATAGAAGTAGTTGTAGTACAATGCTATAACAATACTTAAATTTGCAACTTATAAACCAAACACATAAAACTTATAATATACACTTTGATTTGAAAATATTATATGAAATAGATAGGATTATTAAACCAAATCACGACCATATAAACCACCTCTAGGTGTCTAGATGAGGCAAACTAGACCGAACAGCCCTAGTCAGAGAAAAATAAAAATAAAAAATACAATCTGTATATGTTGATTAATATACATGTATGATGTGAATAAAAGATGGGGAAAAAAAAAGTGGTATTGAGGGAAAATGGAATTGGTCGGGAATGTAATAAAGTGGTGCATGTGGGGTGATTCTAAAACAAGTAATCCTAAAAACATGTACCTAATTAAAATACAATTCCCAATTTAGAATAGTTATAAATAAGAATAAATTCTACATTGTAATAAGTTATAATTTTTCTAATTCCCGTTTTAAGAAAAGTTGTCTCCACATAATAATAATTATCCGTATATTACAAAAAAAAATATGCTATGTTATATTAAAGATTAAGATGAAATAAAATATTTATCTAAAGTTGTTTGAGATAATTATTTATGCTTTAGAGTTGTTACTACATCTTTTAACTTGCGGGTATATTACTCGTTAGTATGAACATCTTCTTGTTGAAGCCAAATATTGTTCTACATTCTTATGATTTCTTCTTTAGTTAAAGCATACATGACTTATTGCTCATTTGGATGATTGAGAAAGACATTAATATCCATTCGATTAGTGTAATGAAGTTATCGAATCTGATCACTAAATTTTACAATGACTCTTTGATTCTTCTCATCCACTTCATTTGTAACTTGCAATTCATCAACATCGGGGATCCTAATTTAGTAATAGTATGTGGTTTCACGTCAATTTGTTGCATAATTTGTAATGATTAAAACAATTGGTAATAATATATGGCTTCACATTAATTTGCTGCATAATTTTGTAATGATTTAAACAACTGACAATAGTTTGTGGCTTCACATTAATTTAACTATGCAACAACTGCATTTATAATTCTATTAAGGATACTTATCTTTACTGGTTTTAAGACACAATTTTCTATCCGTTTAAAAAGTAGGCAATTAAAATGCTAAATTGAAATCTTAATAGTATTAAAACATCAATTAAAATCTGAATACTGTATTACTAAAACATGAATTATAAAGAAATTTTTATTATCACATCTCTATTATCTTTATAGTAATAAAATTAATTAATCCCACTATTATTACTAGAAGGAGGTTTTAATGATAAAAAACTTTGGCTTAAAAGAATAACCCCCTGTTTTCGGCTCTTTCCCTTATTCTCTCACTACTCCTTTGGAAATTACGAAAACCACTGCGCTTTCAAACTCTTTTCCCTTCACCTTCACCAACTCATCTCCATTTGTCACTTCTCTTTCTCCTTCTCTTCTTCAATAAATACTCCTCTCTTCCCCTTCTCCTTGTCCGTACATTTCCCCTTCTTCTTTTCTCTCTCTCTCTCTGTGATATCAGCTAGCATGAGGATGAGTTGCAATGGCTGTAGGATCCTTAGAAAAGGTTGCAGTGATGATTGCACCATCAAACCTTGCCTTGATTGGATCAAATCTTCCGATTCCCAAGCCAATGCTACTCTCTTTCTCGCCAAATTCTATGGCCGTGCCGGCCTTATCAACCTCATTGAAGCCGGCCCCCAACACCTACGCCCTGGTATATGTATTTATGTGATCTATATATCATTCTGAGTGTGTCTTTGATGTATAATTAACGTGAGTGCTTTTGATGATTAATTTGCAGCTATATTTAGGTCGCTTTTGTATGAGGCTTGTGGGCGGATTGTGGATCCGATATCGGGTTCAGCAGGGTTGCTTTGGTCAGGGAAATGGTTTCAATGCCAAGCGGCGGTTGACGCCGTCCTCAAAGGCAAACCCATCAAGCAAAACTCTTCTTCATCTTCTTATTCTTCTTCCATTTCATCAACAACTACTACTACTACTACTACAATTTCTTCTGCATTACACCAGATTCCCCCTCCTCTCAAGATCTACGACATCCGCCATGTTTCGAAGGAACCAATTTCCAGTTCAGACCTCACCACGACCACCACCACCACCAAGACCCCCCGCATGAAGCGATCCTGGAACCGCAGGCCCAAAGCCCCTGCTGCAACTGACTCAACGGGTGGTAGGGCTCATCCCGGTCTTGACTCATCAATATGGCTAACTCCGCTTGGGAATGCAGAGAGCTCGGCGGAGACCGTGGATGGGAGCCGGAGCTTGGTTGGGTTGGAACTAACTCTGGGTTTAATTAGTAGTTCCAATGAAATAGTGAAAGAGTAACAGGTGTAAACTTGAGTTACTGTTGGGCAATCAATTAATAATACTGGTGAGCAAAATATGAGGGCTTTGGTGTAGGTAATATGAACACACATGTAATCCTTTTAATTTTTTTTTCTGTTTAAATATTTGCTTAATTAGCCACATCTACATACAGTAGTGTTTAATTACAATCAAGGTTATATTTTTTATCAGTTAATTCGATTATAACATGTGATTAAAGATTGATTACATAATTTTCGTGGTTTGGTGGTGGGGGGGAGATGGGCAGAGAGGAGAATCCACGTTGAGTTGAGAGAGCAGACAGGTGCTCAACATGCAGCGCCATTGGAGTTTGTGATTGTCAAAGTATACAAATTTTATTGCATGAATTATTCCATGTGGACATTGCTTTTTGTGGGGCTACCTCTCCAATTTTCGATTCTTTCATTTATCAAATGATAATCCTGCCTGGACCTGTCTCCTCTCCAGATCTATCGTCAAATTTAATTAAGGAAACATTATCTGGAAAACTCAAAATTTAATTTGCCTATGTTGCAGGATATTTTCTTAAATGAATGCGTTAACATTTAATGTCGTCAAACAAATCCAAATTTCTTAGAGCGTGTTCTTTTATTTTTTTAATATAATAATATAATTTTTATTTAAATTTAATGAAGGTGTTCTTTATTTTTAAGAAAAAACTTAATGGAAGAAATAATTAATAAATAAAATACATAAGAACTTGTAATTTATTAATTAAAATTATGATAAAGAGTAAAATTTGACTCTATAAAAGTATCTCCAATGGTGCTCTTTATTTTGAAGAGCATCTTTCATATAAATAAAGAGTATTTTCATTAATTTTAAAATATAAAGAACATAATTTTTATTCAAATTCAATAGACTCTTTAAATTTAATAAATATACTCTTTATTTTTAAAAAAGAGAGTTAATGGGAGAGAGAATTAATAAATAAAATACATACAAACTTGTAGTTTATTAATTAAAATTAGGATAGAGAGTGAAATTTGACTCTTTAAATGTGGAGAGTCAAACTCACTCTGTAATTTATATTTTAAAGATAAAGAGTCTGTTGGACTTTTATTTTTATGAATAATAAAGAGTTTGGAGTTGTTTTTATATATATATTTTGAGTAATGCTACAGACCACCTAAGGTTACGCACCGAATCTGTGCACCGAATAATGTGGTAAAATACTGATCGTTTATTCATTATCAGTTAATATTAATCAACGGTTAAGATTTTATCACGTCATTCAATACACAAATTCAATGCATAACTTTAAGTGGCTCTATCATTTTCGATATATTTGTCCCAGAGTTTGGCGAATTAATGTTTATTTTGTCGTGGTAATTTTGACACTACTTCCCACTAATTATTAGGAATTATTATTTATGAAATTATTTTTTTCTGAATCCAAGACACACTAATTAACAATGTTTTAAGCAAAGTCAAGAGCATGTCAGGCTGAACACGTTTGGCTTAATTATAAATAATAATTTGTAACGTAAAGTAGTTGAGGAAATATGATTAATTTATGGGTGAGCGGTTTCGGGTATCTTGTATTGTTCGGGGAAACTAGAATCAGAACCGCATAGTGTAGGTTCTTAAATTCAAAGAACCAGAACCTAAAATACAAGTTCCGATTCCTTTCCCGGGTACCCTATAAAAAATCAATTACCCCCCTATTAGTTTAAAAAAGAACAAAAATACATTAAAAGTTTATAGATACAACCCTAACAAATTTTGATTACTCATTCATTTGTGTCTAATGTGACTCATAAATCTTCTAATCTCTAGGCAACACTTGAATTCAGTCAACTCATTACAATTCACATAAAATTCCTCAATCAAAACCAAAACACAAACAATTAATTAAATAATCATATTATAAATCTATAATTTAATATTATAATAAATTAAAATTTTAATTATTTAATTAAGTATTGTACTAATGTTTATAATGAAATGTTATAATTAATTAATTAATCATTTAATTAAGTAATTATTTGTTTATAATGTAATATTATAATTAATTAAGTAATTATACTATAAATCTATAGTGTAATGTTATAACTAATTAAATTTCTAATTATTTAATTAAGTAGTGTACTAAATTAGTAATTTAATGCTATAAACTTATAATTAATTAAATAATTATTTAACTATAATGTAATATTATAATTGATTAAATAATCATTTAACTAGTAATATATTAATGTTTATCAATTTATTTTATATAATTAATTAATTACTAATTTACTATAAATATGCTTTGAACTTGATAATTAAAGTAAATAACTAAATATTATATTATTATTCAATCAAATATACTATTTTATTCAAAAATAATTCTCTTAATAACATTAAAATACTTTTAATGGTCCTAACTTCAATTATACACTTAATCAAAACTTTAATATTAATATATTATAATATATTAAAGTTTTTTATATGGTGTAGTTTATATGTAATAAGTATAATTGTATATTTATTTAATTAGGTTATTGTAAAAATTTAATTTTTTAATTTTTTTATATGTAAAATTACAATAGACCCCCATTCTTCATAGATATTTCATTTTAGCCCAAGTTCCAAAACAGGGTACCCATTGCAGGTTCCAAGCAAGTTCCAAGCTGGGTACCCGCTACAGGTTCTTTTTTTCAAGTTTTGGTTCCGGTTCCGGTTCTTACACATGTAGGAACTGGAACCGGAATCGCATAGTATCGGTTCCAAAAAAAGGGAACCGGAACCTACCCGTACAGTTTCAGTTTCGGTTTCGGTTCCGATTCTACCCGCTACCCGTGCTCACCCCTAGTGATTATCATGAAGTTGTGTCAAATTAATTAATTTTTTTTTTTACGAGGGTGTTCAGGCTAGTTTGCGTGCACCTCAACTAATCTCCAAGTATCCTGAAGTTGACAGCCCGGTAAATCCCCTTAGTAGCTACCCTTATTAGCAACTCAGGTGAATCAAACTCAGAACCTTTTGAGTAATACACCCAAAAGTCCTAGTTGACTGTTGGACCACCTAGTTGTTGGGGCAAAAAAATGTCATAGACCTTAACAGGCCTAACTACGAAGCACCTTCTATATGGACCAAAACTGTAGCCCGATCCAGGTTGGGCCCAAGGTAAGATTCACATAATGGGCCAGCTCATTACATCAACCGGGTTGTCCACTGAACAAATCCAATCACCAAGGCCCTAATTCGGTTAGGCCTCATTAACAGCTTATTCGGGTCTAGGCCCATCGATCCAAATCATTCTAAGAATCCAAAGTTTACTCCAACTCTAAAACCATCTACTTCTTATTTTGGTACAATCTTGGTCTTCCTAGAAGATCCATGAATATCCTAATTCCTCTAAGATCATGGATCTTACATTGAATGGGATTCCAACTCTTTCAAAGGTAGGAAATCAAAGACTTTCCTATTTACTAAATCTCTACTACTGACTCATAGTCTTATTAGGATTCGGAGATCCTACGACTACTTTATAATAGAGGCTTGTCCTCTCATAAAACATTCAACCTTACACCTTACACCTTCAAGCCCCTCCTAGTTCTCACCCTTGAGAACTATACATCACCGTCGTAGTTCTAGTCTCCGATTAAACTTTTGGTAACCCTCTCTTTCCTTTACCCTCACTAAATTAGCCTCATTCAGCCTTGCTGACTTGAACATCTACGACAAACACTACCCTGGTGTTTCCCTTTTGCTTCACGATTATTTTTTTGTGTGTGCAAATTCAACTGATTGTTAATGGCCTTAATCTCATGAAATCAAACTATCTTTCTGTAACCATAGATTTCACCGTCTACACTAATGGTGGTTGAATCAATTAACTCCTCAATGCACTTCTTAAATAGGATTTCTTGCAAGTAATAGATGCCTGTAATATTGCTAATGGAATTTGTCAGACAACTTGACTAGGATATTGACCACTTGTGCATAGATAATGGTACTTGTTCTTGCCTTAATATAGATGTCAATAAATATCTCAGGATAAATTTTGTAAAATTATCTACAATTTTTGACAAAACATTTTTCAGATTTAGAAATTATCTTCTAATGTAAATTGACAGTTTTACACCTCGATTTAAGAGAATACATGCCAGATTTTCGTACATGGATGTTGCCGCAATATGCAGGAAGAAGTACATGACATGATAGAACCCAGAAATTGAAAAAATGTTGTGTCAATTTACTTTAAAATAGCATCGGGATTGATGCCTTTAGATCTCTGGCTATAATAGATCAGCCTCAAATTATCAACGAAACTGACCATCAAAGTCGTACCTCAATAAGTTTACACCATACGCGTGGATATATACCACACATTAGTTACTGAAAAAAAAAATCCCTGAAGAAGTGGAGCACTATTCTTTCAATTTCAATGGCAATATTGATTGATTGATCCATTCATCTCTAAAAGGAAATTAAAGACAAGAACGTTTAGAAAGGGAAATGCGTAAATAAAAAAGATGAGATGGGAGAGGCAGTGGTTATGAAATGCCAAGGTGAATTATCAAAATGGGGGACCTCTTTTGCATTTAAACCCACTAGCACTTGCGGAGAAAGAGCCAATTCTGAAATTTAATACAGGGGCCATTCTCACTGTCACTCTCACTCTCAGTCTCACTATCCAAATTACCTGTAATTTCTTCTTCATATTCAAAAAACTTGTTGGAAACAGTGCATTAATCTTGCCATAAAAGTCGACTACTAGATGACTTTGTGAAATCAAAGAAATAAGCCAGATAATTTATCAGTAAATTTCGTAGACTGGATCAAAGTGTTTGCTTCTAAATGGCTCACTTAACATGATTTGCATATGATGAACAAAAAATGGGTGGATTTGAATGTCTTTCAATCATATTTGAATATATCAAACGTATAATTAACTTAGTTATATGCTGTTCTATTGCTATTTATTAAACTCAAATTTCTAATTATCCTTATTTCATGTAACAATAAGCTTTGTATTTGAATGTTTTATCTCTAAAGTAAATTTATCAAATACGAATAATTAGTACTTAAACTCAAGAACTCTGAAGCACGACACTCAAAATAAAGGTGATTAGTAAGTAGTATTTAATTGATATGAAATTTTGTTCATTTTTGCAGCGTGGAATGTCGATAACTTGAAAAAGTTTGGCTCCATAAGTGTCAGTCAGTAGCAGACAGTAGGCTAATTGTGAGAATCCCGAAGCTGACAAAATATGCCATTTTTAGCTACTGTCCCAAGCTTTCAACCCTTCAATTTTGATGAAATGCAATATGTCTCCAAAGAAATTAGAGTGAAATTAAGGAAGAAATTCCAAGTAAACATATGTTAAATACAGTTATAATAAGCACGAAAGCATATACATCTAAGCTTTTTTATTTTTTTGTTTTTATTCAATTTATTGGATACTATCAACACATGATTAGCTCAAGTTTACTCTATGATCTTGCTATAAAAACAACATAAGTAAACTAATTAAACAGGGAGTTCACATCTAGACGTTGTTAATTTACTTGTTAAACAAAGGAAAAGCTTGAGTTCCTCCTGCAAAGGATGCCCTCTTCACGAACCTCCCTTTCATTCTAGGCCTCTTCTCTGCATTCAATTTCCGAACCTCGTACCGTATTTTCTTCGAAAACAACCGTGTTCGACGTTTCTCTCGGTATCTCGACACTCTTGCCTCTCTTCCTCCGTCTACCATGGCCGGATGTGTCCCAATGCCCACATAAGTGTGGTGGAGGTCAGTCCCACAATCAGCCTGCACAAACATATTCACAACATTTATATCCACGATTACTAGCCAATAAGCAAGAATCAATAGTAAAGAGTACGAAGAATCGATTCCCCTATTCGGTAGGGTTTCTATAATTGATTTCCATAGTTGAATTCTAGAGATGCGTGAAACATAAACATTAATCACAGTAATATTGCGTTTTTCCGATGACATCTTTCGACGCGACAGAATGTTCCAGGTAGAAACATCCACTACGATACAATGTTTGCATGCACAAAAATGAAATTACAAAAATAAAAAATAAACGTACCATGCAGTCAGGCCAACATTCATCAAGGTCAAATTCCGGGCGGCTGCCGGTGGTCCACGGAGAGCCTTGGCTTGCCCAAGCAGTTATCACGGCTTCATAATCCAAGCTCAACAATATTTTTCTCTTCTTCTTCATCTTTGAACCATCTTCTTCTTCTTCTTCAAAGATTCCTCCACTTGTCTCCATGGCAAACTCTTCTTTAAAAATCTTCTCATCTTCCTCTCCGGTACATGTTGCAGTCGGAGAATCATCATCATAATCGAAATTCAACTCAAAAGGTTCTTTTTCCATGTCGATTTCACTCTCAACTTTACACTCCTTAGTATTAACACCCTCTTCATCTTCATCTTCAACCTTCACTTTCCCACTATTCCCCAGGCAACACTCCTTCAAATCTTTCTCTTTGTAATCCTTCAACCCCAACTCTTCCATGGCGAACGACTCATTCTCAAAACTCCTTCCCAGCAAATTCTCTACATCAGCTGCAAACTCAGCAAGCTCAATGTCAGATGGAAGAAATCCATGTAAACTATCCACATCTCCCGTGTTTGAATTTCCATAACCTCCTGCAATCACTTTTGATTCACTTCCATTTACATGATCTCTAATCTCGCTCTTCTTTTCCGTTTCATTGTTTGAGTTGGCAGACGTACATAGCTCGGCTGCAAAGGGATCGAAAATCGGAACCCGATAAAGAAGCTGTTCTTCTTCATTGATCTCTTGAGATATCTCATCGCCACCAACTTCTGGGACAAAAGGAAGAGGATTTCGTATTAGTTGATGATGATGATCAGGTTTTGAGGGCTTCCCATGTCGAGGCGTTCTGGCCTTCCTGGTGAACCCTCGGTGCCATGAAGGCACTGAATTCTCCGAAACAGCAGCTCCTCCTTCTCCTCCTCCACCACCACCACCACGACCACCACCACTTGAAGACTTAAACGACGCAGTTTTCAATCGAACTCTTTCATGTCTACGTGCAAGGGGATTAGCCGAGTGAACCGAAGAATCACAAGCTTGGCAAAGAAACGCATCATCAGCAGTACAGTACCATCGAGCTCGTTTCTTTATACAACTGTCACAAGCTCGAGCCGTTTTCCCACCAACGGCATTGGCAACATTTTTACTAGTAATCATCGACTCAGACTCAGAAATTGGATTGAAAACCAAAAAGGGTTACTAAATTTTGTTCTAAATTTCACTCTTTATTACAATAATTTGTATAGGAAAAAGGGATGGTGACCCACAAGCACCGCTTTTTTCAGCTCGAGTGTGGCCCTAGGGATGCACTTTTGGGTTTTCTGCAAAGAAAGGAACCATGAAATGGCCTTATCTGGAATGCAATTGGCTGAGCGTCTGAAGATGATCCAGAGGTTTGAGTTTTGATTGGTGGAAGCTCTAATCGAAGGGATTTCTCGTGGGGCCTTTTAGTGGTGAGGATGAGAATAAGCTCTATGTTGCGGTCCCCGTGATCCTATCTTTTTCTTAAAGCTTTGAATTATCTGTAATGGAATGTATAACGTATTTCGGTATGGTCAAAAATATCTCTCCAGAGTTTTAAACAACTAATCTCAAGCTAAACAATGTTATTTTAGGGTTTATCATCAAGTGAAATTCAATACAAGAATTAGGTGATTATCGCATCACTATACATCAACTACGACGCGTTATTATACATCAATATTGATAAAGCACTTCTCTCGACCCTTTTTTTTTTTTTTTTTGTTTGAGAATGTCAAAACCAGTTTACGCATATCTCAACTAATCTCTTGGAACCTTGAATCTATCGATCGGATAAAAACTCTAGTGGCTATCCTTATCAGTAATTGAGGAGAGACGTGAACTCAAGACCTCTTGAGTGATATGCCTAAGAGTCTCCATCGAATCACTCTATTGATATTTTGAAGTAGAGTGAGAGAAATACAAAGCAAGGTGAATTTCAGATATTCTACTTTGGGTTGGTGAATAAAAGACTTAGGGACCCTTTGGTACACAGTTTTTCCCTACCTTATTCCCTATCATATCCAAAATACACATTTATTTTATTATTCTCAAGATATTATTCTATTTTATTCAATTCTTTTTAAACCCCCTAGGCTTGTTAATTTAACTAAACTTCCCCCAATTTTTTTTTTTTAGAAATTAACAAAAACACCCCAGTAACCCACATTTGCCAGATTTTGGCTACCACTGTCGGAAGTTTGCCGGAATCTAGTATAATGGCACACTACCGGCTGGATCTGGCTGGTAGTGCACTGATCTAGTATTTTCCGACTACATCCTTAGCTGTAGCCAATCGTCAACGACGGCCAAGATATGGCCGTCGTTGACGACCAAATACGACTAGATCTAGCCGTAAATCTGGCATTTTCTGGCCAGATCCACCGTTGATCTGGCTGAAAAAGGGTATATCGGTACATGACCGGCCAGATCCAACCAGTTGTGCGCCAATACGACGACTCTAATCACCCTCCAGTGGTGGTGGCCGGCCGTCGATATTTAATGGGTGGGTAGGGGTGTTTTTGTTAATTTTTAATATTTTATTATGGGGTGTTTAGTAAATAAATAAACTTAAGGGGCTATTTTTGTTAATTTTCAATTCCTACATTGTAATAACCACCCAATTTTACTTTTTTCAAAATATTATTCTAAAAAGTATCAGAATAATAAACCAAGTGCACCCTTAATTAATTTGGATAACAACAATCAACATCGGGCAACGGAAAAGCTTGACAAAATTAAGATGGAAATGGTATTAATTGGTGTTGTTTTCCTAATGAAAGATAGAGAATAAGGGTACCCATATATTATCAAATTATATAAGGATAATGTAATGATGTGGATACCTCATCCATGAATCCAATGTGTGCCTTAAAAATCAAACTCTACTACTACGAATAAATGTCGACACATTCCTAGCCTCGACAATGACTTTTCTCTACTCACTTATCGTATTCACATCACCATTTTTATCAAAATACCAAATAACTTTACCCAAATTTGGTTTTAAACCATTGTTAGTATGATAGGAAATGTCATGGATTTGCATTTAGTGTCAATGCCGGCTCATTATGATGGTCGAATTTGTCACATACGATATATCTCTAGTGAATGAGTCTAGGACTCGATTTATAAAGCTTTGAGTCTTCTTTACTTAGTAAATATGTTTTCGGTGAGATTTCGGATATGATAATAAAAGTGTTTTGGTTAGAAAATATATCCCGTTAAATTTTTATGTCTTTTCTACAAAATTTCATAATATATACGTTTATTTTCCATCAAATTACTATTATAGTTAGTAGTTTTAAAAAAATAAATTTAAAAAAAATATTATTTTATCTTTTCTACTATTCACCATTCTAGTTAATGATTTTCGAGGTAAATACATACATAATATATAGTTTTATTAGATGAGTGTACGAAGGATATGTTACTTGTAGAGGGATGGTAAACTTTTGAGTCGGGATTTATTTTAAAACAATGGGCTCGGGTCTGGGCTTCAAATGTTTGTACCTCGACGGGCTTTCCAGCCCATTAGGCCCAGGCCTAGAACTACAGGCCCAAGTTATTTTAAGCCTAATAAATTTAGGCCCAATACTAAATTCATATGACAATTCTAGATTATTGAGTTGTAAATTATCCCAATCCAATCCGGTTCTTTTTTCAATAATGCTACAGTTACCGAAGGATGTATACCGAATTTGTATTGTACATTGAATGATGTGGCACAATCCTGATCTTTGATTCATTATAAGTTAATATTAATAAATGGTCAGGATTTTGCTACGTCATTCGGTGCATGGATTCGGTAAACTTAGGCTTCAAATGTTTATATCTCGACGGGCTTTCCAGCCCATTAGACCCAGGCTTAGAACTACAGGCCCAAGTTATGTTTAAGCCTAATAAATTTAGGCCCAATACTAAACTCATATGACAATTCTAGATTATTGAGTTGTAAATTATCCCAATCCGATCCGGTCCTATATTGTTTTGCTAAGTCTAACACTGAAAAAAGAAGATTGAAGACTCCAAACAAAATTGGCGCCTTTTTTCTTTCCTCACTTAAGAGTCAACTCTGTTCACGATCTGGTATATTTACTCTGCTTTTTTCTTCGGTTTCATTATTGTTTCACACTTTCACTCAAGACTGAACTCTCTTCACGACTCGGTTTCTTCACGATTCGGATTAGGCTTCGAATTTTGTGGTTACTGGTTACTTAATTTGTTCTTCATCTCTTCTCCACGATTTTGAGATATTTTCTTGATATGGATTGCTAATTCGACGGTTTTTTAGTTTGTTTTTAGTCAAAAGTATAGTCAATCCACCATCTGTTTGATAAAAGTACTCAATGAACCTGCGTTTCATAATCTCTTCCTGTTGCATTATCTTTTTATTATGTTTTAACATCTGGGTTCATTTTGTAACTTTCAGTTTGATTAGCTATCAAGAAAGCTTAATTTCAATTTGAAGTTTAAATATTTTAACAAAAACTGTGAGTAATGTATGCGTTGTGGTTATTTTTGATGTTGTAGTTTAAATTTGTTTGTTGAGTTGTATAGTTGACCGCCTCAGATTGAAATTAGAAGAGTCTGAAAAAGAATTTAGTTGCTGCGATAGGATCTGGGTTGATGTCACTGCAAAATGTGTTCCTAGGTTGTATTAGGATTTTATCTTTTCTGTTTTTCCTATGATGTAATCTACTGATTCCTCTTATAAATATATATAAAATTCAGTGATCTTTCAGAACTATTGTTTTAGCTTCTTTTGATCTCTAATGTGTGCACATCAACTTGTGGCTTAATAATTTTGTAATCATGCATTATTTAATTTCGATTTTAATAAATTCTGTCTTGGCTACTGAAGAATGGGGGAATTTGATATTTTAAAGAAGCATTTTTGTTAAATTCGGATCAATTTCGGATATCCGGTTGATCTGATCCAAAAAATTGGATATCCGGTTGATCTGATCCAAAAAATTGGATATCCGAAAAACCGGATATCCAAAAATCTGGATCGGATTCAGATTGGATCACCAAAAACCCTAACCGGATCGGATATCCGGTTTTGCACACCTCTATCTGTAGGGGTTATTACTAAGGCAGTGTTTTTGTGTTAGGGTGTGGATGGTTTCTGTTGGTTCAAAAGCTTTACCTTCGAAGAGACCTAGAATCCGTAAATCAGTGGAGGACAGCTTGATGGGTGAGGATGATAAATCATATAAACTTGGTTGGAAGAAAAACAACTTGAGCATGAAGGCCAAGAAAGAAAGTTTCGGTCTTGATGCTAATACTTCCAAGAAAAATGTATCTGGGCGTGGCTATGATGGAACAGCAAAGTCCCACAAATCTTGGAAGCATCATAGTTCATCAGAGCCACAAACATCGGTTGTTAGGTATTGCTACTTTGTTTACTTAAATTAATGATGATTTTGGTAGTTTTTGCTCTGATCATCATCTGGGTTTTGAGATTGAACAGTATGCACTCGTGTCATGTGTTTTTAACTATTGTTAATGACCAATTTGGATGGTGGCCGGTGTAATCACGTATGCAAATTGAATTATCTTTGTAGGAAACAGGTTGACCCTGATTTAGCAAAATACTTTTCAGAGATTGCAAATCTTTTTGAAAGTAATGAGGCTGATTTGGAGGAGCGATCAGTTTTATGTCGTAATGCCCTTGAGGAAACTAGAGGGAAAGAGTTTGAACTTGCAACTGATTACATCATAAGTCACACTTTGCAGACACTCCTTGAAGGCTGTGATGTGGACCACCTTTGTGGTTTCCTCTGAGGCTGTGCAAAGGTCTTTCCTGCTATTGCTATGGATAGATCTGGATCTCATGTGGCCGAGACAGCTCTCAAGTCTTTAGCTGTGCATCTGCAAGATGAACAGAACTACTCTGTTGTCGAAGAGACTCTAACTATGATATGCAAGGTATCTGATGTTTTTCATGTCAAGATAAGGTTATGAATTTTAGTTTTGCTGCAGTCTTTACTGTCAATTGACATAATGCAATTTAGGAATAGATTTCTGCTTACCATTTTTGTTTATTTCTTCTTTCCATCTTCCCAGGTTATTGTTAGCAATCCTGTCGATGTGATGTGTAATTGCTATGGATCTCATGTCTTTTGGAGTCTTTTTTGTCTTTGTAAAGGAGTACCATTAGATTCCTCACAATTTCATCGTGCAAAGCCGTCAGTTGTTCTTGCGAAGCGGTTAAATTTGAATGCCTTTTGATTATCTGGAAATGATTTACCACATCCCCACCCGTTATTTTCAGATTTATTGAAGCTCCTTATATCAGGGATATTAAAATGTTCCAAGAAAGACATTAAGACACTGCAAACTGATCAGTACAGCAGTTTGGTTTTGCAGGCATGTTTACATTTACTCTGGTTTGATTATTTTCATTGTTAAAACATATAATGAATAAGTAAGCTGTTGTAATTTTGAATCAAATGTCCTTTTTTACCATACTTGACTAGCATGGTCAAATGAGCCTTGAGATGTTTTATCTAGATGTGAAGATTAATATGAGAATTTAGAACTTCAAATATGAGTATATGATCCTGGGACCTGTTTCTGAGTCCTTAAATTTTCTGTTCAGTAGTCAACTAATTTTCTGAAAATTGAAATATGCTTAAGCAATATTTTGTTTCTTTTATTGTTTTAACATGTTAAATTCTCTTCTTAATGTTCTTTGTACGATAAAGTTTGTCATAGTTTAAATAAAACTTCTCCTGGTTTAATTTTTTTTGGTTAGTAAATTCTCTTCTTTAATGTTCTTTATACAATAACTTGTTCTTTATACGATAAGGTCTGTGTCTACAATTTTGTTTTCTTTTTGTAGAATTCTTATTCCATACCTTGTTATTTCTTTAAATAATAGTTTAATTATGGGAATTATAGTACTTCTGAATTCATAATGCCAGTGACATTTTTTTTCTCTTGGAAGACAGCTTTGAAGCTATTAGTGGGGCACGATGAGGAGTTGCTTAAGATAATTCCTGTACTTCTTGGCTGCAAGAAAGAGAATGTTGTAGAAGGAAACTTCATAGAGATGTCTGTTGTGAGTAGCATTGTAGACTTGATGAAAGAAACTGCATATAGCCATTTAATGGAGGTAAGCAACCTATCAATGGTATTGTTTATCTTTGTATTTGCCATTTTATTAATTTCCTGTATCATTTGTCTGTATGTGTGTGTATTGTTCCCACATATGAATTTGAATCGATGAAATAAGTAATCCATCAGCAAAGAGAAGAAAAGTCATATGACAATATGCTTTTTATAGCTATAATCTCAACAGACCAAATTAGACTGCTGCATTTTTCATTGAGATGTGATGTTTGTCCTGATGCATACAGTTAATTCCCTTGAATATGTCTTCTATTGATCATGTCCTGTTATGTGATAAACTCTATTAGCCTGGAAACATACAGCCACCGCTTTGAGAAAGTCCATCTTTTCAAAGAACATCTTCATTTAACTGATAAAATTTTGAATCCTCTTCCTTTGTTTTTTATATTGATGGCATAAATGGTTATGAGACTTATCATATAGATATAACAGCAACTGAATGCTTACCCTTCATAATTTCTTCATCTGTTTGTGAAACATGTACCAGTTTCTTATTTTTTGGTTTGCTAAAATTCCGAAAAATTTGCAGGTAATTCTGGAAGTGGCTTCCGAAAGCTTGTATAATGAAATGCTCACAAAAGTTTTCAGAAATTCGTTGTTCCATCTTTCATCACATCAGTGTGCAAACTTTGTTGTTCAAGCATTGATTTCCCATGCAAGAGATCAAGATCAAGTATGTTTTCTATAACATCGTGGATATACTTGTTATTCATAGGTAGTAGTTCTTTTATTTTCATAAACTAATTACAACAGCTCTCGTACTACTTATTTTACTATTTCTCAGCTACCTTTACATTTTATATGTGCTGTCAACCTTTTGTGGATTGAGTTTCTACAATTTTTTTTCTTTTTTCCCTCCTTTTGACTACTAGATGGAGTTGATCTGGAAGCAACTTGGTACAAAATTTAGGGAACTTATTGAAATGGGGAGGTCAGGGGTAATTGCTGCTCTTATTGCTGCATTTCAAAGACTCCATACTCATGAGCAAAAGGTTTAATATTGTTCCATTCATTTCATCTTTTCTAGTTTTGTATGCCTCTATATTTGAACTTCTGATGTTAATCAACCTGGCAATAAACTTATAGTTATTATATTTAATGTGTTCCAGAATATGCAATTTAAGACATTAATGGAAATATAGTAACCCAAAATGAACCTTCTTTTGATGTGTAAATTCATATCTTAATTTTAACCATGATTATGTTTTTCTTTTTCCTGTTTGGCAGTGTTGTCAGGGTCTTGCTGCTGCTGTAGGTTAAACGAATGAGTCCCCAAGATCCATCGTTCCGCGTATCCTGTTTCTTGAAAGTTACTTTAGCTGTGAAGACAAGTCAAATTGGAATTGGCCAAATGGTTTTAAGATCCATGTTATTCGTTCTCTGATTCTGCAAGCAGTTTTTAAATTTCAAAGTGTATGCAGCCGTTCCATATTCATGTTTCCCCCCCCACTTTTTCCTGTTAATTGAATTTACGTTGTTTTTTTAATTGGTTGCTATAAATATTAGTTGTCCATACTGAGGTTAATATGTGTAAAGGAACTTTTTACTTAATAGATATGTTTTTTTACATGAGACCACAGAAGAGTGAGTAATAAAATCAGTTATATGTTGCCTTCAAGATTAAGGCAGTTTACATTATGTGTGGAAAATATTTAAAAAAAAAAATGTCATGTGTCACATACACAGTATGGTGCAGTGTGCCTCATTTGTACAAAATATGCTCTGGCAATTCGCCTGATGGTAAAAGATCAGATGCTTAGGACTGTGAGACTTGCTTTAAAGATGAGCATTGGACATTTATCTTCTGGAGCTTATTATCAAAGCTTGAACTAGCCTCAGCTTGCTACATGATTTCTTGTATTAAAATGCCATATTTTGTGTCTGTTTCGCAGGAATTTACACAGCCTTACATCACTAGTATCACATCCATGGAAGCTGATCATGTCTTTGAAGCAGCAAAAGATGCAGGGGGAGCACGAGTTATTGAAGCCTTTTTAGGTTCAAATGCTTCTGGAAAACAGAAGCACAGATTAATTCTGAAGTATGTAATGCTACTTTATTTGGATATTCTATTTCTTTGCGAAGTTCTTACCTGTGCTTCTTTTAACATATGGAATTCTTAGAAGCACAATTGTTGATGAAAATATTTCGTGCTCTGATGTGAAATGCTATACTCTTCTTCTTGTTATCTCAAGATCACCTCTTTCTAGTGAAATTCAATGTAGAACTTCTATTTAGAAGCAATTCTAATTTGTCATTTGTTTAGGCTACGAGGACACTTTGGAGAGCTTTCAACGCATTCATCTGGTTCATTTACTGTGGAAAGGTGCTTTACAGCTGGTAGTTTGTCATTAAGAGTCCATAGCATTAGCATCTGAGTTATTAGCGGTGCGAACTGAGTTATCCAAGACAAAACAAGGCCCTTATCTCTTGAGGAAACTTGACATGGACGGGTGAGATAATCACGCTGACCTATTAACATGTTTTGTTTTCGAATAAATTGTGGTCTATTTCTTGACGTAAAATAATAATTATGATTAACAAGTTAATGCCTAGTCTATACCCATATGTAAGTCCCCACACACGCCGTAAACTATAGTTAATACATGGAAACATTAAGTGCTGTTTGTTTGGCCTTAATTTCTTATGGTCCATTGTTGTTTTTGATGTTTGGTTGTTCTCTTTTCTTATTACAACAGATTTGCTGCACGGCCTGATCAGTGGAAGTTGAAACAAAGCTCTAAGCAATCAACTTACAAAGAATTTTATGCAACATTCGGCTCAATTGAAACTAAATCATTCAAAATGGGTGCTGATCCTTCCAAGCACACGCCTCACTCCCTAGATATAAAAAACATGCGGAAAGAGATTGATCATTCCCTCGATTCTGCTGTACCATGTTTGGACAAGGCAGACATGAAGTGGCACCCAGAGAAAGAAGAGCAGCAAACTGGGAAATATGCCAAACATGCAATGGCTGATGACATCTCAAGAGGCAAAAACAACAAGAAGAAGAAGAATTTAGTTGCTTCTGAGCATACTGGTGCATCTGGTAAAGGAGCAGAAAGTGCAGTAAAGCCATTTCTCTGTGAAGACAGATCAGTAAAGAAACGACACAGAAAGGATAGGCTATTGAAGTCTTCAAAGAAGTTAAAAGCTTGAAGGTTTGCATGTATTCTCATAGGACTGTCGAATAGAGTTGTAACTGTAACTTAGTTGGAGAGTTTCATTGAGCGGCAACAGATAAATGGTTGTGTACGCTCTTTACTGTTGAGTTGAAAAGAGTTTTTGTTGAATTGAAATTTTGTTTTTAAATGGTTTATCCAAATAGATTATCATAAGCTTCAGCTAACACTTAACAAATTATAGTTCTCATATAAGCAATGTTTTAAAACCCAACCCCGTGGTGAAACTCGACAAAGTTGTCAGGTCCTGGTTTGACCGCCGGTTAAACCAAGTAACAAAAACTTTTAAAATTTAGTAAATACACCCCAATCGTCCCTTGAGCTCATTCCCTTGAAAATTTACCCAATATTTGGTTGAAATTGAACGACATTCCAGGCTAGATCTCATCAACAACAGTGTCGACAACCCTCCCCATCACTCTGAAAATACTCATCCCTTTCTTTCGACCAAAACCCACCTCACCCCACCCTCGTTAGCCTCGTCAATCATTGGCAAAAGTCGGTTGTTACTGTTGCCAATTGTTTTCGATTTCTGGTTGATAAATACTCACCGGAAATCAACTTCGTCGTCACCGTTGAACTCATTGACACTTTCTTTTCAAAAGCTCCAACATCTCGACCTTCAATTGTTCGCCAATCATCATCCCAAATTCTAGGGTTTTTGGTGAATAAGAAAAACGTAAACCCGACTTGGTGAAGCTTTTGGGTCTCAGTTAAACCGAGACGGGCTTTTAAAACAGTGAATATAAGTTTTAAGTATTACAATCAGTAAAGTGTTGTAGAAACACCCTCTACTACTCAAAACTGCTTGCAATCTTCGTATTCCAATTTGGTTCTCTTATGTTAAGACTTGTTGTAGGTAGCTGACTAGCTGTGTTTCCAACCATTTCCATTTACAGCACAACACATTAAACACCATGAAATCCTCAGACTACAAAAAGTTGCTTTTTTTATAAGTGGTTTTCAGAGTAATAAAATACCACTTTCCCGAATTTACCCTCCACACAAGGGCTTGTAACACTTCAAAATTTGGGATGTTGAATCCCAACCGTCAAATAATATCCAACGGTGGAAACTAGTGCCAAGTCATTGATCCAAAATGAAAACAAAGAGCGCGGGCTTTGCAGAAACAATATGCGCCAAAAATTTTGGTTTTGGAAACCCAAATTTCATTTTCCCTCTCTGCAGTGTCTATTAATTTCGCTTAAATTCATTTCTATTTTCTCAATTGTTCTCTGAAAGAAGAAGAAGAAATGGCAGGTGGGTCGTCGAATTCAAACGCACCGAAGCCTCGAAAGAGAGTGGAGGCCGAATCTTCGGCTTCTTCTTCTCTTGTTCGTGCCAGAGATGGCAGCGCTTTCGCCAAATGGTAATTTTTTCTTTTTTGTTTCTGGTTTTTTTGGTAGGCTTTTTAAAGTTTTAGGGTTTTGAGTTAATGAGTGAGTTTGGATTTTTTGAAAAATGCAGTGAAGAGTGTAACAAGAGTGTTCCAGTGGTGCTAATTAGTATGCATAGTTGTAGTCTTGATGCTAAAATCAAGATGAATTTGGAGGCTCAAGTTGTGGAAAAGCCCACTGAAGTTAAGAAGAAATCTGTGGAAAGGAAGAAGCCAACTTCAACTGAACCAAAACCAAAGAGACTCAGAAAGGCTGCCAAAGATAATTCAAACAAGCCCAAACGCCCACCTACTGCTTTCTTCCTCTTCATGTAACTAATCTCTCTCTCTCTCTCGATTTTTGAATATTTTGACATTTAGGTAATTGGCTTTAGAGTAACAAGTGTTTCTTTGTTTGTTGCTATTCAGGGATGACTTTAGAAAAGAATACAAGGAAGCAAATCCCGAGTCCAAGGGTGTAAAAGAGGTGGGTGTGTTATATGTTTCTGAATTGGTGGTTCAATTATGGCATGTTCAATTTTAAGCATTGTGATTAAGTTTTGTGGGTTTGATTTTGTTTGATGAAATGTAGGTTGCGAAACAGGGTGGTGAGAGGTGGAATAATATGAGTGAAGAAGTAAGTTTAAATCTTCATGTTATTTAGTTCTGAAAGCTGTGCGGTAGTAGTAATGGACTTTTTGAGTTCTAATTTTGTTATTTATATTCATTTGTTTTAGGAGAAGAAGCCTTATCTTGACAAGGCTGCTGAGCTTAAAGCAGAGTATGGGAAAGCCTTGGAGAGTAATAATGATGCCGAAAATGGAGATGTAAGACTTGCATTATTATCTGTTTTTTTATGTGTTAAACATGCAGAGTTTTGTGCTGAAAGATTTGTCTGTTCGTGATTATTTAGGAGGAAGGAGGTTCAGGGAAGGAAGATGCTGTTGAGAAAGAGGATGAAGGTTCAGAGAAGGAAGACGCTAATGAGAAAGAGGATGTTGCAGAGAAGGAAGACGGTAATAAGAAAGATGATGTTGCAGAGAAGGTTGAGCAAGAAGAGGAAGAAGTGTTAGATGATTATTAGATGGTAAGTAGGATATGATGCTTCCGGGAATCACATGTTAATTTTTGTCCTCGGAATTACTGTGGCATTGTAAATTTTTATCTCCCTTAGTGAATGAATTTAATCAGATTTTTCAGATTTGGTCAAAGTTTCATAGTCTCTTAATCTTCAAGCATCATTCTGCAATTCACCAAATTGTAATCATGCATCATTGAATTAGTCTTCAAGCATCCTCTCTGTGATTTGCTGAATTGTAATAAGGTTTTGTTGCATTCATGACATTTGATTGTTTCAAATAGATCTATTTGAATACAGTAACTGGATAGATGATTGGTTATGGGCCAACTCTGTCCCTGTCTCCATTCTTGAGACAGGTTTCTTCGCCAAATGATTTTGTATCCTTTGATGTATATGCATGCCCCATTGTAATAAGTAGAGCTTTGAATCAATGATTTCTACAATAATAATTCTTATTGATGAAATGGGAACTGGAAATAAGATAAAAAATGGACTATAAACTGTTGCAGTAAGCAGAAACCTATCCCTTCTATTACAAATTGCTCACATGGCATGAGCACTTATCTTTCGACAACGGAGTCAGCATTTTACTGGCCCATATTTGCTTCATTCTTTCCCCTACAAGGCGGCAAAGGCTTGCCACATAAACACAGATTGTGAGCATAAGCGCCTGCAGGGAAGATTTTGTATGGTCTCCCTTGTGGGATCTCTCCGCATAGTCTGTTTGCCCTGAAGTTTGCATGTCTCAGATCTTTAATCCCCAGCAGGCTGATTGGGATTTTCCCTGCAAGTGCATTGACCGATATATCAAGCCATTGCAGGTTTGACAATAGCCCTAAGCTTGTAGGGATTGTGCCTGTTAATTGATTCCTCTGAATATCAAGCATTTTGAGTTCAATAAGATTTGATATTGAACTGGGAATGCGGCCCATAAGCCTGTTGCTTCCTATGTTGAGCACTTTCAAATTCAACCCTTCAGCGAATTCTGGAATCCCACCTGAGATTTGATTGCCTGCCACATTTAAATCCTCCAAAAAGCTGCTTGTCCTGTTGTTAATGATGGTAGAAAGAGACCCGAAAAGCTGATTTGTGTGAAGATCAATAGAAGTAACCCCCTCTGGAAATTTCATCTCTGCAAGATTAAACTTCAATTGATTGTTTGAGAGTTTGACCCTCTGCAAACTAGACATATTTGTGAAGAACCCTGAAATCCCATCTACAAATAAGTTATCCGACAGGTCGATGGAGCTTAACGAGTCTGATCTTGTGAACTTGGGGAGGGCTCCTCTTAGCTTACAGCCAGCAAGACTGACATCTGAAAGTGGTCTGTCTTTGATCCAGTTTGGAATTGTACCTAAACTCAGGTTGTTGTAAGACAGGTCTATTGACAACAGAGAAGGAATGCCTCTGCCTGGAATAATTGGTAAAGGATCTGTGAGCCCATTTCTGGACAAATTAAGGTTCCAAAGGTTCTGTAATCTAGAAATGGAAACTGGAATGTGACCTATAAATTTGTTGGAACTCAACTGAAGAGTAGCAAGGGATTTTAGGCTTCCAATCTGATCAGGAATTGCTCCTGTGAGCTGGTTATGGCTTAACGACAAGTCTTGCAGTTTGGCCAAGCCGCAAATGGAAATGGGGAATTTGCCAGATAGAAGATTTTTGGAAAGGTCAAAGTAAGTAAGGTTTTGGGACATTCCAAAACAATCTGGAATGAACCCAGATAGTAGATTGGCACTAAGGTCAAGAGACTGCAAGCCAACAAAGTTGCGAAAAGTGGGAGGAATTGGACCTGTCAGAGAATTTCTAGCTAAATTTACCATAACAAGGTTTCTCAAATTCCCAAGGCTTGGAGGAATGTTCCCCCTCAAACGGTTACCACTCAATGAGAGAGTTTGGAGTAAAGACAAATGAGCTAAACCTGGAGGAATGTTCCCTTCAAGAGAATTGTCTTCTAAGATCAACTGTGTAAGGTGGCTTAAATTTGAGAAGCTCTCGGGAATTGGACCTGTAATATGCTTCATGCCACTAATGACCATCGCCTCCAAGAAATGTAAATTAGCAAGAGAAGGTGACAGAATGCCCTTCATGTACATGCCATTCTCCTTCTCAGGTCTCTGCAAAGCCAAAGAAACAACTCTCCCTGTAGCTGGATTACATTGAACACCCTCCCAATCCCCTCCACAGCAGTCTCTTCCCACCCAGGAAGAAAGAATATCAGTAGTATCCTTCAAGATTTTGGCTTTAAATCCCAGAAGAGCAACTCTATCTTCTTCAAAGCAAAGTGGAGGAGTCGCTGATTGTGACGGTGACCCCTCCTCAGCTAGTGATGAGTACACTGAAAACATACCACAAATCAACAAAACCTTACAAACCCATCTCAGAATCTGCATTTTGAGAAGTGGGTAGTGATCAGATCAGAGAATTTCCTCCAAATTATATATATAAAAAAGAAGAAAACTTTGGCAGAATGAAAAATATATTCTATCACAAACACAAAAGTAGGGAAACTAGTTGTAAAGGAAACATGGTGTTTGTTTGTTTATTCTATTTCTTCACGTAGACAGGAAGGTATAATGATGAAAAAGATATTAGAAAAACCTAAAAAAAAAAATAAAACTAATTGAAACTTGCTCAAGAACCTGAAGAATATAGTCACATATTTATAGTAACTAAAGAAACTAAAGAAAAAGAACTTTACAAAGAGACTGTTGAAATGAGATTAAAGACATTCACATGGAAATTTGTGACCGTTTGATGGATCACGAGGGGGTCCTAATTACTTTTGAACGTTGGAGCGCAGTAGATTTCAAATTCTATCAAAAACAAAATACTTTTTTGAAAACAAATCAATCACAGGTGTGAATTAATATGAACTTTCGTTCACGTTCTGGGTTTGATCTCTTTTGTTTTGTATTGTCCGTGTGTGTGTGTGTGTGTACACCATTAATGTTGATGGTGAAACTCAGGTGATCAAACACTCCATGTGGGCTCTCATTATTTTGCAACTTGATGGCCTCCACAATTCAACCATTTCTCTAAATAGTCAATTCCCATTAGCTTATTTATCTCTTCCATAATTGAGTTTTAATGGCCTTCCAAATCATCCCACTTTGAAAACCTCGCATCTTAACTTGTATAATAATAATAAAAAAATTATGGGTTCAGATACAAAGTTGAGATTCCAACTTAAAACGTATAAATTTTCAAGAGTTTGATTTCTAAAGGGATTTACAACGATATTACTCCCTTTAAAAAGAAGGCCATGAAAACAAATTTACCTTCTTCTACAATTAGAAATTGTTACCGTTATGTCTGTGTTTTTGAATTTGTGATACAAAGTTGACAAAAAGTAATCATTAAAAAATGTTAAAAGAAGGAAGTTGACAAAGTAAAGAAAGTAAGTGGTTTAGATTCATTTGAACTTCAGTGAGCTTCATGTTGCATCCTCCACCATATAATTTCTCTGTAAATTAACATAGAAATGGAGGATATATAATGAACAGGAAGATTGAATAAAAAAATTTCTACAGTTGCACATTTTTCTAGACATTCTTTACAGTGTGAATGTAATTTAGTCAGAGTTGTTGAAAATTTGAGAGGAGTTTGTCAAACGATTAAATCATCCTTGAATTTTGACTCTAATAAATCTTTCCCTGTTTTTAACATAAGATTATTATCCTAATTCTTCTTAATCAAATTGTCTTATTGGCTGTCTAATCAAACGAAAATTAAATTAAGGGGACAATGAATCAACCACTTTGTGGGGGAGTGCTGGGAATGAAAGTACTGATGGGTCCATAAATTTTGCCGTTTCTAAACCATTTTTGTGAGTAATTTCTTGGTGTTTGAGCTCACTGCTATTGCTAGCTGGAAGGATTCCACTATCATCATCTCTATCTCTCCACTCTTCCATCCTTTGCTATCATTCACAATCTTGGTGTTGTGTTGTCTTTTATGATGAAATTTAATTAATCACCCTTTTATCTAGACTTAAATGACAATTTATTGCTTATCAATACATAATTACATTTATATAATATTCTCATATTATAAATATTACGGTTCTTTCTATACTAAATCCTTATGTGTTTGGTCTTTTATGCAATGAGCACTCGTTATTTTTGGAAATGCAATCCTAACTCTCGTGTGTTTAACCTTTTATAGTTTTATGTAATAAGCACTTGTTAGTTTTAAAAATATCATCAATTTAACCTTCAAATTTATCAATAATTTTATCAAATTAATCTCTAAATAATATATTTTTGATAGATGTTAGATGTTGATTGAATTTTGATGAACAGAAAAAGCTTGATTTCTTTCTGGATAGGGTTAAGCCGCATTTATGAAATAAATGAATGTTCATTGGCCAAATATATATATACCTTATTATATTATATATTAGTATAGTTTATTGGTCGATTTCATTTCACCGAAAAATGAGCCGACAAACAACAATTGTCACTTTACAACTCATGCAACTTTCTAACCTAATTCTATTAATTATTAAGGTTACAGATTTTCAAATTCGAAGCTTGTTCTTTTAAGAAACTCTAATAGTTAGCAATCACTTTCTTAATATTTCCAGTGATTTACAGTTTTCAAGTCAATCCTTCAACATCCGTTAGTGGGAAATGAACTGTATATATATATATATATCTTTGTATGCATGAAGATTAAATTTTATGAATGATTTTATGGGGTGTTTCGTTTTTTCACAAAATTTATACGAAAAATTGAGATGAATATGCTAGTTAGGCTGCGTTGATTGCGGTAGAAAAGTGAGGTTGGTGTTTGGACGGACGGCCCACATGCATAAGCAATAATCGACAATATTGACTGTGATTTATGATTTTTTTTCTTCAACTCAAGATTTGATTTGGTTTTTGGAGTCGTTGAGTTCAAGTTTTAAGACATTAATCGTTGATATCATGGTCCCATTTGTATTATCTTTACATATAATTCTTTTCAATCACGACTGCAAGAACCATATCATGGTTTCATTAATGCTTCTTTACTTGCTACCTATTCTTCATTAGAAAGAAAAGAAAAAGAAAAAAA